CCACTTATGGGTATTTATCCAAGGAAAATGAAGGCACTAACTCAAAAAGATGTATATACCCCCATGTTCATAGCGGCATTATTTACAATAACCAAAATTTGAAAACAACCTAAGTGCCCATCAGGAGATGAATGGATAAAGAAAATATGGTGTGTAGATAGAATGGAATATTATTCAGCCATAAAAAGAAGGAAATCCTGCCATTTGCAGCAACATAGACAGATTGAGGGCATTAGGCTAAATGAAGTAACCCAGACAGAGAAAGACAAATTCTGTATGATCCCAATTCTATATGCAATCTTTTTAAAAAAAGAAACAAAACCAAGCTCATTGATACAGAGAACAGATCGACAGATTGGTGGTTGCCAGAGGTGTGGGATGAGGGTGGGCAAAATGGGTGAAGAGAGTCAACAGGTACAAACTTCCAGCTATAAAGTAAGGCATGCACATGTCATGTACAGCATGGTTGCTATAGTAATAATATTCTATTGCATATTTAAATTTGCTAAGAGAATAAATCTTACAAGTTTTCATCACAAGAAAAAAATTCTATCACTGTATGGTGATGGATGTTAACTACACTTAATTGTGCTGATCATTTTGCAGTATATACAAATACTGAATCATTATGTTGTACACATGAAGTTAATATATGTCATATGTCAATTATATTTCGAAAGAAAAAAAAAAAAGTCTTGCTGGATCAAGTGCTAGTCTCATTCAGGCAGTCAGCATTTAGTCTTTTCTAGCCATACCTTCTCAGCGAACTCATGACCCAACTCATTGTTTGATTGCAAACTAAACTTTTGTTTGAAATCTGCCTTGGTCAGGCACTGTGAATGAACAGTGCTAGGTGTGGAAAGGTAAAAGAGACACTGTCCACACACTTCATTCTTTTTGGCCCATCTAATTGTCTTTGTTGCTTTCTAAAATAAAACATTGCAAATTATAGTTTTATTTCTTATCTTCTCTGTTTATTCATATCTTTGAATTTAAGAACCACTTAAATCCATTGAAAAATCAACCCCTGGACCCATTACTTCTCTCCCCTTTTGATGCTCCCCACATTTTGCTTCAAGTTGGTCTTGGTTTACCCATTACTTCCTGTGTTTCATCATCCTGAGCTCCCATTCCATTTGGGGTTCCCTGCAGTGCCTAGAAAGGAGCTAAAAGTTAGCCTCAAATGACAAGGGACTGACTGATTTTCACTGAATCTGATTCAATCAATATGGAAGGGAGCCAGGAACAGATTTTTTGCTTTTCTCCAATCTTTATGAGGTTGACATACTGGGCTGTGACATTTGATTACATTTTATGTGGTTGTGTATGTGTGTGCTTTTTAAAGATTTTATTTATTTATTTGAGAGAGAAAGAGAGAGCACGAGCAGGGGGGAGGGGCAGAGGGAGAAGCAGACTCCCCACCAAGCAAGGAGCCTAGCACAGAGCTCCATCCCAGGACCCCAAGATCATGACCTGAGCCAAAGGCAGACACTTAACTGACTGAGCCACCCAGGGGTCCCTAAGAGTGGTTGTGTTTTTAAAGACAGATTTTAAGACTATTTCCCCCTCTTATGTGGCCTTCAGTTTAGGGTACGTTTGACCATCCTATTGTCGCAAGTAGAAGAGAGAAAATAACAAGCTCTAGTCTGACATTTCCAGCGTAACTTCCCAATGACAGTCTCCTCTGCAGCTAGAAGGAAGCGTGTTAAATGAAATCTCAGGCTGATTCTTTTCTTTTTCCTGATCAGTGTCTTGCATTGCCATTCAGTTGCCTTCCTTATAACTTCCTCTTACAGAGGAAAAAAAAAAAGACTTACTGACTTGCTTCTAACAGTTTTCTTTGATATAATTAAAATGAGGCAAGAGTCGTTCCTGTTTTTGCTCCTGCTGTATTCCTAACATCTACCACAGAGCCAGAAATACTAAACATGCTCAGTAAATCATTGTTGAATGACTAATGGAATTTCCATTCCTGATTATAAATTTAATCTCCACACAAAAAATTCATTCAAAAAGCACATCCCAAATTAACTTAGAAACACTGGCACTTACTCCTTTTTCATTTTATTTATCTTAATGAATTAATTCATTTTACCAATGCTTACTGGAAATGCATATTAAGTGTTCAAAAGTGAAGAAATACAAATCAGAAGAGGAAGGACTTAAATTCTGGTTGCATTATTTATTATCTAAGTAATCTTGGCAATTAATTCATTGCTTCTGGCTTCAGACTCCTCATTTGTAAAGTGGGATAAAAGCTCTTAGGGTCAGGGGTTTTGTGAAGTAGATACTATATGCAAAGTGTACTGCCTGGCATTGATTAGCAGTTCCCAATAATATTATCAAGTGCGTAAGCCTCTGTATTAGGATACAAATGTGAACAAAATAAAGCCCCTCAGGATGTTTACAAATTAGTACTGGCAGAGAAAACATTAATTGAATAATTACACTGCAAGAAAGACAGTAACATTAGCATCACAAAGGCATAAGAAAAGACTTGATTCCTCTTCTAAAATATAGGTTTTATTATTTTTCAGGCCAACAGATCAGGAGATGACTGCCATTGGAAAGACAGTTTGTTACATTCACAGATTCCCCTTGCCACATCACAGGGGGTAGGAGCACAAGGGAAGAATGAGGTCTGTCAGAAGGGTGATGGGGTGGGGTGTGTGTGTTGTGGGTGAAGTGGGCATGAGCCTTTACTGCTTCTTTTGGAAGGGATGGATGAGTCAGGGTAAGCAGGTTTAGGATTGGCTAGTTTGAATAATCTCTGTTGGTTCTGGGATGTAGGGGCTGTCTCTAGTTGTCTGGTACCTGGCCCTGGGTGATTAGGGTAGGGATATAGTGGCTCAGAGTATGAGTTCCATAAAGGAGGTGGTTGGCATATGGGCTCTAGGTTAGTTGGTTTGCATACGAAAGGAGCACTCCCAAGTAAATTATTTGCTATCTCTAGGAATTAGCTAACCCTGGGAAAGGCTGTACCTCTAAGGTCAGCAAGGCCCCACCATCTCAAAGCATCAAAAATATGGAATAAAAAGACCTGATGAATGCAGTAGCTCTGAACTCATGAATCACGGAAGTAGCCAAGTCCAAGTTTCTTTTCAAGTCTGACTATACTCCCAATCCCCTTGTTCCCTATCACAACACCCTGTTTGCTTCTTACCACTTACCTACCGCTTGTTCTTTTCTTTGCTTACCTGTTCATTCTCCCTTTATCCCATTACACTGTCACATCCAGGAAGGCAAGAAATTTGCTTGTCTGGCTTACTGCTCCAATTTTAGTTCCTGACACACAGAGGATGATCGATAAACATTTGTTGAACAAGTGAGTGAAAACAGTAGTCCTTGATGGTTATGTGTGTATGTGTGCATAGGCACATGTGACTGTTCATGCATGTGTAAGAATGTGGGTATTTGTTTGTGTTGCTGAATGTGTGTGTGTGTGTGTTTTGCATGGAGCAGGTTCCAGCCTTCAGTCTAAGCTGTGTCTGCTACTAGGTTTCAGCCAACACTGCATGTCTGGTAGGTTATTTGATAGGCATATCAGAATCTAGCACACAGGTCTTCCTGGAGAAGAACTCATGCTGGTCGGGCCAGCAGACAAGCTCAAGAGAGTACCAGACACCTCCAGGGTTGGAAGAGAGAAGCATTTTTGTGTGTATAACGCTGTATTTCTCTTGGAGGAGTCTTGGCCCTGCCCCCCGTGGACATATAGCTTATCACTTGTGAGGAAGACACCTCTGTTTAAAACTGAAAGATCTGTTTTTAACAAAAACTCTACAATATTTTAGAATGCTTTATTAGTCAGATTCCAGCCAGAAAATCAAAACCATACCAGGTGAGCAAATAGGAGGAATTTAACTTGGAGGTTAATTTACAAGGTGCTAGAAATGCAATTAGAGCAAGAAATAGGGAGCTGAGTCAATCCAGATATTAGAAAATGCTGGAAACTGCTACTGCTCTTTGGCCAGGAGTCAGAGAGTGAGGAGCTAGGACCAGGAGCTGGGGCCATGCTGGAGAAGCTGGAACAATAATGGGTTGGCCTGGCTTGGGTGGGACCACAGACACAGGGCCTTTTTGGAAGGAGCTGGAGCCATAAGGAAGATGGAGTCACTGGTCTCAGTGACAAAGGGAGAAATAGCCTGGACTCTCCCATTTTTCCCTTTGAGTCTTCTACTAGTGCCCTCCGTCCGCTGAACCTAACCAGACACAGGGGCAAGGACGCCAGGAAACCATAGTCTGGAAAACTCAGCTTCCTCTAGGACAGAGCAGAGGAGGGGATATGCAGGGAAAGGATCTGAAAAGCAACTGGGAAATGACAAGTGCAGATGAGGGCAGTGTTGGCTAGTATCCCATAAAGAGGTCACAACATAAAAATTTTTATTTATTTTTTTAGCTTTTTGTTTTAAGTAGGCTCTATGCCCAACAAGGGGCTTGAACTAACAACCCCAAGATCAAGAGTTGCATGCTCAACCCATTGAGCCAGCCAGGAGCCCCTCGACATAAAAATAAAGGCTGGCATCAACTTACCACCACTTTCCCACACAACCTTGGCCCTTTGAACATTCTGGCAGATCAATATGCCTGGCTAGGTGTTAATACCCAGGAGAAATGGAAGCAGTCTCTGGCAGAGACAGCCAGCAGAAGTGGAAGGAGAGCATTAGCATGGTGGTAAATCATCTTCTCCTTCTTGCAGCTTATAAAGTAGCATAAAAATAAAGGAATGGCAGTTACAACGCAGTACCTTGTATTACAAGAATAAATAACAGGTGACACATAATAAGTATTAATCTTGTTTTGGTACAGTTACATTTTCTGTTTCCATAATTTTACTAAATTTTCCTGACAGTACCACACCCTCAAGCAGAGCCCCAACTCCTTGCCGTGCACCGTAAGGGGCTCATGCCTTGGCATGGCTTCCTCAGAATGTTCTGTGTCCCTCCTGCATGGTGGCGATGGCTGAGGCCAGCAGTGCTATTTGACCTGGGCCTGGCACTTACCTGGACCCTGAATCCTCTTGTCCTCCTTCAGGGTTCTTTCTTTCCCTCTTTCTTGCATGGGAGACACCAGATGTCTCAAGGAATTGCAGGGCTCATGCTTACAAGTAGGGATGTCCTGGAGCTCCTTGGTTGAGTCCTGGCTCCAGAGGGGGCAGCCTTGCAAGCAGATTGCTCCTGTGGCTGGTACGGTGTTTCTTTTGTGTGACTGTGTGGGATTGGATTGCCGGAATGGTTCTGAAATGCATGTTTTGGTGACCTAAATTATTTATGTAGACAAGGTCTTGCAACAAAAAAAAATTTTTTCCCCTTAGGGTCACACACCCACATTTTAGATGAGGAAACCCATACTAGAAATTTAAAAAGTTTACTCCAAGATCACACCAAGAGTAAATATGGAATCCTAGGTTTTTACAAAGGCATTTTGAGTTTTAGGTCATATAGCCTATTATTTTATATGAGAACAGAGAAGGCACACCCGAGGGATTCTCAAATTAACTGGGAGATACTAGAAAAAATAAGAGGTATTGCCATGGCAGATGTGTGAGTGGGGATGGGGTGCGTGGAGGTAAATTCTAGAGAAATATGGTACTAAATGCAATGAAGCTGAGTCTGTATATACTACAGCTGATGGGACCTCCCGATTGCTTCCACGACTAGGTCGCTTATCAGGTAATGTGGTTCTGCAAACTTTAGATGAAGAGAAAGCTGGAGGAAAACAGAACATTTGCTCTTTTTAATCCCAATATAAAGCTTCCCCTTCTTCTCAAGATTCTTTCAAGACAAGGACTCTTAGAGCTCTCTGTTCCCACTGGCATCTCTGGGCAAGGAAGGGCTTTTATGAGAGGACCTTGAGAATGCTTCAAGTTAGGGCTTTGTTTCTCGTGGGAACATGAGGGAAAGTGGAAAAACCACCAATTTGTTTAGTGAGGAAACATGATCTTCCTGCTCTTCTCTGGGGTGAGTCAAGTGGTAGGGACTAACATTAGGTCATTCCTGGGATATAAATATGTGCCTGTGCAGAAAGCAGCCCTCACACCTACTACCGTAAGTGGGGCCACTAGCTCAGTGGATTCACTGCATTTTGCAGTTCAATTTTAAACTCCAAGTAAGTATCACAGAAACCCTGTCATGAAGCTAGTAACTCTGTTTCTGCTGGTGACTGTCAGCATTTGCAGTTACTCTGGTAAGTAGCCTGAACACGTATCTCTACTTTCTGTGATAGGAATGTAATCAGTAAGCCTAGGCTTCCAGGGGAATATGGTGGAGGGAATTTTAGAACCACAGAATGGAAAGGTCAGAAGGGATTTCAGATGCAGCAACCTCACCCCCACCCCAGCCCCAGCCTACCAAGCTCTAACCCAATAGAAGTACTATCCGTAGTGAATCCTACATAAGAAGTTAGCCAACTCTTACTAGAGGTCAACACTCTTGAACATTGTCACCATAGTTTTTCTTTTCTTTATTAATCTTGAGTCAAAATCTCACTTGGTAACTTCTTTCTTTTGAAACTATATGGAGTCATTCTTTCTATCGTCTAATCAGTTGCCAGGTTGTTTCTCCTGAGACATAGCTACATTTATCATTCACACAGTCAATGGATAGTTGCTGAATGGCTACAACATGTTGGGTACTTGGATAAGCATCGGAAGATTTAGATATGAATCAGACACAGAGATTGTTTACAAGGTTCTTGTAATCTGATAGGGGAGATAAGGCTTCTTCAGACAGAAGTCACTATGATGCTAGACTAATGCATAGAGACATACACAGCCAGAGCTCTGTGGGAGAACTGAGGGGTGAACAGTTCAGTTTCTAGGTGGGGTATAGAAGTTGGATTCTTGATCCATTCTTTTTGAAGGGAGTCATTTTAACTACAGGAAAGTATATTTGGATGCATCTACAAAATGCATTGGGATAGCCACTGTTCATTCAAAGAACAGAAAGCCTTGAAAGTCTTCCCCTGGAAGTGTATAAGTATATGCAGAGAAGACAACCACCAGAACCTTTAAAATAAGTAGGGAGACTAATCCTGAGAAACTAGGTGCTGTCCACTCCCACATTGGCAACTCTGGTTTGTGCTTTTTACTGAAATTTTGGACCAATTTGTAACTTTACCAGCTTTGGCTATTTTGTTGTCTTTAGTAACTAGCATCAAATATCTACTGGCGGAGGTGGCAACAGAAAGCTGGGTGGAAGGAAATAAATATCCCTCCTATGCGGGAGGATTTGGGAGGGAAAATAGGTGGTAGATGATGAAGGGAAGATAGATGCATAGGCTCCACTTGTATGATTTGAATGGGGAATGAAAAGGATTCCAAAGGAAAATGAATTATGGCAGGGTCTTACTAGGAAGATGTGTGTTCTTATGTGTGTTCTCATGTACGTGTGTGTTTACATATTTGCACATGTGTTTTGTAAAAATGTATATTGTATGTATTTTTCTCATTCTCTACACTTTCCCTCTATTCATCTTCTATGTGAAAGTTCTCTTTCTAAAGCCAAAGATACAAAACGCAATTGTTCCATAAAGGAGTCTTGATACCTCCCCATTGCCCTTAGGGAACAAAGTCTCAAATGCATTAAAATATGGCATTCTAGGCTCTGAAAAATCTGACCTCACCTGGGTTTGGCTGCCTTACCTCCTTCCCCACCTCAGCATACCTCACTGGAATTCTGCACTCTAGCTGCTCTGGAAGGTACAACAGGCAGTGTGCACACTTTCATCCTCACGTTTCAGTGCCCTTGTTAATTTTGTTCCTTTTTAAAATGCACCTCCCCTACTTTACCTTGTGACCCTGGATTCTGCCTCAAGATACAGCTCCAGCAACATCTCTCTGGGAAGATTGCTCCAACACTCTACCACATTAGAATTAGTCATCCCTTCTTTTTTGTTTCCACAGAGCTTTATCCACAATGTTAGCACAGCACATGCCACACTGTGGCATGTACAGATCTTTATTGTCCACCAGACTGTGTAAGTTCTCTGAACAGAATATCCTTGTCTTATTCATCTATGTATCTGCACTAACCACTACAGAGTTGGTGTTCAGTTATGTTTGTAGCATTGGGTTGAATTGGTTGGGAGCAGTTTCCTGGGCTGTGGTTGATTGGGTTCATGCATGTCCCCAAATGAAGGTTCATTATGGAATCTACTTTTTGGCCTCAAAGCCATGGATTGTGGAGATAGCCACATGCAAAGTACATTCCTGTTCAGTGAACCACCAGTTTTTACTGAGTGCTTACTAAATGCCAGAGTCTAGTATTCTAGGCATGAGGTACAGTAGTGAATAAAACATAAATTCCTTGTTCTCATGGAGTCTGCATATTAGTGAGAGGTTGAAGGCACAAAATAAATAAGTGAGTTTTACTATTTTACGTAATGGTAAGAAAAAATAAAGGAAGTTAGAGGATAATAAATGATGCTATTTTAGGTACCTTTCTGAGGAGGTAACATTTGAGGAGAGACATGTAGCTAACTGGAGAAAGAAAGTTCTGAGGAGACAGAACAGCAGATGCAAAGGCCCTGAGGCAAAAGTTTTCATGGGAAATCAAGTGAGACTGGAACAGAGTTATTGATGGACACAGTGGAAAGTAGTGCAGTCGTGGACAGGAGTCAGATGTGCCTATTTCACTCAGTTTCCTTTTTGCTCTGCAGCTACCACCTTCCTTATCAACGGTTCGCCAGATGCTGTCAACAAAGCCTTACCTTTACCTGTGGACAACATTCTCCCCTTTATGGATCCATTAAAGCTTCTTCTGAACACTCTGGGCATTTCTGTTGAGCACCTTGTGGAAGGGCTAAAAAAGTGTGTGAATGAGCTGGGACCAGAGGCCTCTGAGGCAGTGAAGAAACTGCTGGTAACTATAGGTTGTGGACTAATTTGTCAATGGGGAGAGCTTAGTCACCTGAACGCCCCCCCCCCATACTCCCACTCACCCTGTTCTCACCTGTGGACATGTATTTCCCTGGATGTACTCATACAAAGCTTGCATGCCCAGGAATCTCAAGGAAGGTGCAGCATCTACATTTCTAGAAGGGATTTTTGAATGAAAGAGATCTATGTTATGATTGTGACTTTGCATTTCTCAGCTTAGTGATTCTAGTTGGGACTTAACCACTCTGGGCCTCCATTTCCACATCAGTAAAATGGTGGCTAAATAGGTTGGTGACTATATTTGGAAACATGCTAAGCACATGTAAGCCATTTATTTTTATTCTTGTCCTTCTGCTTTTCAGGAGGCGCTGTCGCATTTGGTGTGATGTCAGCACAAAGCAGCGGTGGAGGGGAAGGGGAATGGTGCTCTCCTCTGGGGCTGGAACTCATTTCATCCTAAGGTGTAGTGACCCCTGAAAAGAGTGAATAAAGCAATGAATAGATTTTTGTCCTGTGTTTATTTCTAGGGGCTCTATTCAGAAGGGCCCACTAGATAATTTTTCTCTTGGGTCATAAACTCCAGAGAGCCTCTTGTTATCAAGAGAACTGGCATTTTCAGGAAGACATAATCATGTCTTCCTCTCTGCTTGACTCTAAGTTAAACATCATCATTTTCTTCAACTGCTCTTTGACAGTGTTTCTATACCCCTCAAGCTCCTATTCCCTCACTTCTAAAGAATTTTTTAAATATAAAAATTTAAAATTTAAAATATAAAAATGTAAAATATAAAAATGTAAAAATTTAAATATAAATATAAAAAAAGAGTTTTCAAAGTATTATCTGACAAGACTAGGGTCTTTCACTGACTCGGCATCTACAACACCAGAGTGCGAGGTTCTATTAAGTTTGTGGTTATACTATGGCCGCTCCATAGGTCACAGACCCTGCCACCAAGTTAGGTCTTCAATGCATCATCATTTGGCTACTAGGTTCTGAACTATCCTTTCCTTTTCTCCATGCCACCATCTATGATGATGCCAGAATTATCTTTCCAAGACCATAATTCTGGTGATATACAATCACCTATAGATGTCAAGTTCCTTAGGATGGCTACAAAGCCCTTTATGACCTGGCCTTTGTTTGCATGTCTAGTCTAATCAATCTTTTTCCTCCCTTCCTTCCTTCCTTTTCTTTCTTGGAATATTCCTTTCTTGAAATGTGCTCTAGCCCCATTCACACTGAGAAAATCACTAAATCTCTTTCCTGCTAACATTTTTATGCCTTCATGAAAAACCTAGTTTCTTCCTACCAAGAATATCTGCCCTGATCTGCCTTCAGGCCTGAGCTTGTACCA